TATTTACCCACTTTTTGGCTATTATAAATAATGTTGCTATGAACATTGTGTACAAGTTTTTGTGTGAAGCCATATTTATTTTTTGTTTGAATCAGGACCAAAGTAAAGTCTACACATTGCTATTGGCAGATAAATCTTTTAAGTTTCTATTATAGGTTCCTCCTTTCACAACTTTATATATTTTTTTCAATTTGTTAAGCAATTTGAGTCATTTGTCCTGCAGTTTTCCAAAATCTGGATTTAGTTGATTGCATCCTCTTGGCATAATTTAACATGTTCTTCTAACATCTGTACTTTCATAAACTGGTACTTATGTGTAGAAACTTGATCAGATTCAGTCTTGATGGAAAGGGGTAAGGTGACTATAGGTAGGCTGTTATCCTACCAACCTAATTGTCTTTTTTTTTTTATATATTAGCAGCCATTGATAATCATTGCCCAGGTCCATTTTGGCATAAAATGTAATGATAGTCCCATGCTGTCATTTCTTACCTATGGAATCTGATATAAAGAAAACATTTGCCCTCAATTCCTTTATTGCTGCATGATTCAGTTTGTATGTAAAAGGAAGGATAAAATGCTTCAATTTTTCCCTTTGTTTTATCCTCTAATAATGATCAACTATTTGTGGGTTTTGAAAATGAATTGGTAGATTAAACATATTTAATATATTCCACTGGAGTGCGGTTTTTTGTTTTTTTGTTTTACATAATAGTTCTATTTTTTAAAATGCCACGTTTTATCAGGAACACATGAATAGATTCTTTGACTTTCATTATTATTAGATGATTAATGGTATTTCTCTTTTGATATGAAGTCATTTTAGGGTTTAATAATTCAAATATGGGTATACTTTTTCCAAATAAAGTAAGACAAAATGTTTGAAAATATTCATGCTAATGTTTTAATTTCTGAAGATAAAGAGGTTAAATATTTAGTAGACCATTTAGTAGGAAAAAAGCACTGACCTCTAGTGGAATCCCCTAGGAGGTTCAGTAGATTAAGGGTAAAATAGGTTTCTTTATGTACCAATAGGCAGCTGACATCCTCACAGAGAGGAATTTTTTTTTTTTTTAAGATTTTGAGAGAGAGAGTCGGGGGGGGGGGGGGGAGCAGGCTCACGCAGGACTCAATCCCAGGACCCTGGGACCATGACCCGAGCCGAAGGCAGACGTTTAGCTGAGTGAGCCACCCAGGTGTCCCAGAGGAATATTTTGAACACAGAAGATACAGGACACAACATGTGGTTGGTATTGGAAAAATGTCTGCTTTCAAATACATGTATTAATGTTTGCGTTTTACTGCCACCCCCTCCCAAATAATGCTACTGGTACAGTGATAAAAGGCCAAGAAAATTAACCACGATAAGTGAAGGGGAAATGTGTTACGATTCAGAAGCTTTAATTTTCAAAAACTTAACGTTTATCTTCCTCTTACTGGAGTTATTCTTACTGTTGTTGCTCACATTGTCCTCTCTTTGGCCAGTGGTTTTTTGTTTGTTTGTTTTTTTTAGGAAATTCTGTGGCCCCTGGCTCTCCCTACAAGCCAGATGGGGGGTGGCGGGGCGAGGGGCTGGTTGCAGGGAGCCTGGGTGCTGACTCAGCGCCTCCCGCAGGCAGTTTGTGCCCCGCACCTTCCCTCAGGCATCTGCCCTTCCGGCCTGTGGGATGAGGCCTGCCCTACGCAAACGGTCATATTCCTGTGGCCTGCAGTCCCCAGCACTGTGCCGTTGAGGAGGAGGTTTGCGTGGTGAATGGTGGCAGACCCCAAATGCCCCTGCTGTCCTGCTGGACCCTCGGGGCCTTTCCAGCAATCCTGAATCCGAGGTGTTTCCCTTCCTGTGGAGCCGCCATCAGGCCCGGCCAGTGATTCCTGTTGGTTACTTGGTTCCCAAGTCTTTTGACATGACTGCAGCATTCTTCGATAGCTTCCTGGATAGCAGGTGTAAGGTGTTTCTAGCTTCCTTCATACATTTCTTGCCCCTTATCTAGAATCAGCCTTTTCTCCAAGAATCTTTGCTTCTGTTTAGTAGGAAATATAACCTCAAAACTACAGTCCAGGGGCGAATCGGATGCTCACTGCCATGATTGGTAGTTGTTTGCAGGCCTATTCAGCAGAAAGGAGGAAAATTTGGTTTATTTGAGATGTGTTGTGAGTACATACAAATACTTGCACTGCAAACTCAGGCCACAAGGATTTTGCTTTCCTTCTATTGTACATCTGTATTTCCTCTCTCCCATGCAGAGAATCCCAGTTGTAAAGAGATTCTAGTAATACCAAACCAGATTATTACTCATTTACTTTAGCACATGGTATGTACACAGCAGTCTCAGGATGCTAATACTAACACTACCACTGATAGATAATGTGACTAACGACCTGTAAAGATTTTTATTTATTTTTTAATTTTTTTATTATGTTAATCACCATACATTACATCATTAGTTTCTGATGTAGTGTTCCATGATTCATTGTTTGTGCATAACACCCAGTGCTCCATGCAGAACGTGCCCTCTTTAATACCCATCACCAGGCTAACCCATCCCCCCACCCCCCTCCCCTCTAGAACCCTCAGTTTTTTTCAGAGTCCATCGTCTCTCATGGTTCATCTCCCCCTCCGACTTACTCCCCTTGATTTTTATTTACTTTTTTTTTTTAAAGATTTTATTTATTTATTCATGAGAGACAGAGAGAGAGAGGCAGAGGGAGAAGCAGGCTCCCAAGGAGCAGGGGGCCCGATGCGGGACCCGATCCCAGGACTCCGGGATCATGACCTGAGCCGAAGGCAGACGCTCAACCATCTGAGCCACCCAGGCGCCCAATTTTTATTTACTTTTAATGTAGGCTCTACACCCAGCATGGAGCCCGACCTGGGCCTTGAAATCAAAACCCTGAGATCAAGACCTGAACTGACATCAAGGTTCAGACGGTTACCCACTGAGCCACTCAGGTACCCCAAAGACTTTTTCCTTAGGGTTTATTCCACTAGGGATGCATAAATTACTGTTTTAAGAGGTACTTTTTGTGTGCTTATGCCACCCGCTGGATACTAATTTAGACTCATTAGCTTCATCCTCAAGTTTTTAAATTTAATTTTGTTTTATAATTATGTAACATATTTACCTAGTTCTAAAGTCAAATTTACCAAACTAGATATAGTCAAAGAAGACTTTTAATTTTTGTTCCTTGTTTTGTTCCTTCCTTTTCCCTCTAGTTAACCATTTAAAAATGTTTATAATTTATCTTTCTGCTTTAAACACATAAGCAGATACAGATAAAATAGGATTTTTTTTACCACACACACATTCTCCATCTTTTTAATCTGGAGATCTGTATGGATTTGACATTATTTAACCAATCCTCTTCTGGTAGACATTTGGGTTGTTCCTGGTCTTTTTGCTGTTGCAAATAATGTTGTAAGGGATAACAGCCTTGTGCATATTTACATTTAAAAAATATTTTTTGCCAGTTTGGTTTTGGGAGAGATCGTTAGATATGGGATTGCTAGTCAAAAGGATTAGTAATTTTACCAGTGTTGCCGAATTCCCACCAACCACAATGGTAATTTGCAGGACCATTAGCAATGTATGAGTGTGTGTGTTTCTCCACGAACAGTATGTCAAACTTATGGATTGTTGCCAATTTAATATATGAGAAATAGTATCTCAGTGTTAGTTTTATCTTTGTGTTTTGCTTAACATGAATGAGGTAAGCATGTTTTTATATCGTTAGCCATTTCTTTTCCTGTTCATTGTTTATCTCACAGGATTAATTTCCTATAGAGTCCTTGGTCTTTTTAAATTTTCTAAATTGTTTTTTTTAAAGATTTTATTTGTCAGAGAGAGAGAGCACAAGCAGGGGGAGTGGCAGGCAGAGGGAGAAGCAGGTTCTCCTCTGAGCAAGGAGCCCAAGGTGGGGCTCCATCCCTGAACCCTGGGATCATGACCTGAGCCGAAGGCAGACGCTTAACTGACCGAGCCACCCAGGCATCCCCCTAAATATATATTTTTTTAAATTTAAAAAATTTTGGGCTGCCTGGATGGCTCGGTCGGTTAAGCATCTGCCTTCAGCTGAGGTCATGATTTCAGAGTCCTGGGATTGAGTCCCACATCAGGCTCCCTGCTCAGTGGGGAGTCTGCTTCTCCCTCTTCCAATGACCCTCCCCCCCCACTCATGTTCTCCAATAAATAAAATCTTTTTAAAAAGTTGACCATGAACATATGAAAATATATTTCTGGGTTCTGTTATATTCTGTGTCCTCATGTGGTACCACACTGTCTTCATTATAGTACAGTTTTGAATTTAAGATTTTAACTAATCTCTACACCCAATGTGGGGCTCGAACCTACAACTCTGAGATCAATATTCACATACCCTATCAACTGAGCCAGCCAGGCACACCTGAGATTTTTTGGGTAAGTGTTCTAACTTTATTCTTTTTGTAAAAATGGTTTTGGCTATTGCAGGCCATTTGCTTTTCTGGAAAAATTTTAAAATCAGCTCTTCAGTTTCTGTGAGAGAAAAAAGGTGTACTGGTATTTTGATAGGGATTGCACTGAATCTGTAGATCAATTTGGAGAGAATTGACATCTTAACATTGATTCTTTCAATCCATGAACATGCTCTCTCCATTTTAGGTCTTTTTGAATCTCAGCAATGTTGTGTAGTTATCAGTGTGTGTCTTATACACACCTTTTGTTAAATTTATTCCTAATTTTGTTACGTCATTAATTTTTATAGTTGATAGTACATAAAATACAGCTGATTTTTATGTATTGATCTTGTAACCTTGCTTAATGATACTTGCTACATTATTCTAATTGGTTTCATTCTAAGCTGTATGCCTTTTCCATTTCTTGCCTTATTGCCTTGACTAGTACAATTCCACGTAGAAGTGATGAAAGCAGGCATCCTTGTCTAGTTCCTGATCTTTTTTTTTTTTAAGTTTGTTTTATTTATTTATTTATTTATTTATTTATTTATTTATTTGACAGAGAGAGACACAGCGAGAGAGGGAACCAACACAAGTAGGGGGAGTGGGGGAGGGAGAAGCAGGCTTCCTGCAGAGCAGGGAGCAGAGAGCCCCATGCGGGGCTCGATCCCAGGACCCCGGGATCATGACCTGAGCCGAAGGCAGATGCCCAATGACTGAGCCACCCAGGCGCCCCTAGTTCCTGATCTTAGGGGTAAAGTTTTCAGTCTTTCACCATTAAGTATATTAGCTCTGCCTTTTTCATAGATGCTCTTTATCAGATTGAGCAAATTTCCTTCTCTAATTTGCTGAGTTTTCATCGTAAATGGATATTGGATTTTATCAAATAATTTTTGTGTCTCCTGAGATGATATGATTCTTCTCCTTTATTCTGCTAATATGGTTATATTATATGATTTTCAGATGTAAAACCAACCTTTCATTCCTGGGATAACACCTACTTGGTCAAATCCTTTTTATATGTTGGTGTTTTCTTTTTTTTTTTAAATGCCAGCTCATTTGATGTTAATTTATTTGATAAACCCTTTCTCTGTAGTGTCAGAGATACTCCACTAATTACAATTCCAAAATAGGGGCCTGAATTCAAATTCCCTTTGTGCCTGTACACTCTTCCGTAGAGATTGTATTTTGTGTAAGCCCTTGCCCTCACAGCAGCAGTGAAGACAATCAAAACAAGTAACTATAAGAGTTTGAGGAGTGTTAGACAATATTGGGTACAAACTGTGATTTAAATAAAGGGAACCCAAGGTAGAATTTTTTAAGCCACCAGAGGAAATTACTTGACATGTAAATAGAATTTAGCCAGGGTTACCATAGCACTCACCATCCAAACAGGAACATTTTTTTTTTTAAAGATTTTATTTATTTATTTGAGAGAGAGAGAATGAGAGATAGCACAAGAGGGAAGAGGGTCAGAGGGAGAAGCAGACTCCCTGCTGAGCAGGGAGCCCGATGTGGGACTCGATCCCGGGACTCCAGGATCATGACCTGAGCTGAAGGCAGGCACTTAACCAACTGAGCCACCCAGGTGCCCATTAAACAGGAACATTTTTAAAAGTCAAAGGGAAAACAAGTATAAAATAGGATGTATGGTCTCCTTAGATCTAATTAGATCTAATCAAAGGAGAGGAGCGTTTTAGGCAGATAAAAACATATCTGAAAGAGGACTTGGTCTATTAAAATAACTAAAAATCTCCATTTAGTGAGTTTGTAAATTGTAAAGAAGAAAAGGAAGCCAGAAAAGTAAGGAGAAATCAGGTTTTTTTTTTAAAGATTTTATTTTTATTTGACACAGAGAGACACAGCGAGGGAGGGAACACAAGCAGGGGGAGTGGGAGAGTTCTCGGAGAAGCAGGCTTCCCCCCGAGCAGGGAGCCCAATGTGGGGCTCGATCCCACGACCCCAGGATCATGACCTGAGCCGAAGGCAGTCGCTTAACCAACTGAGCCACCCAGGCACCCAGGAGAAACCAGATTCTAAAAGCCCTGTGAATCAGAAAGGACCTTGGACTCCCATTCCAAGGACAATAAAAGTTCTAAGCAAAAGCATGACATAATTGTTGTAAAAAGATTACGTTGATTGCAGTGTGAGCAAAAAAGGGTATCAGTAGAGATGATTTAGCGGGGAAATGGAGAGTTGGGTATGGGTTTTTGGAGTCATGAGATGTTCTCTGATAGTGTGACTGCATGACTATGAATATAAAGACCACTGAATTGTTTGGTATGTGAATTACAGCTCAAGAAAGGTATTTTTTGTTTTAAGGAGATTTAGGAAATTAAGTTCTCCAGGTGAGATGATAGGGGCTCTGGATTAATGTTAGAAAGGAGGAGGAGTTCAAGAGATATTTAAGATAATCTGTAAGGCCTTGTGACTCAGGGTATGGAGGTGAGGGAGAGGGGAAAAATCAAAGTAACTTCCAAGATTCTGGCTTAAGCTGCAGGATGGATGATGGTGCTGTTTACTGACAGAACCTGAACCAGACACGTGTGAGATGGGGGTGGGGAAGGTCTTAAGACATGTTGAATCTGAGATAACGTTGAGACATTTAAGTTGGATTATCTGTTTTGGACTGTGTCCCCTCACCTCACTCCCCAGATTCATTTGCTGAAACTCTCATCTCAGTGTGATGGTATTGGGAAGTAATTCGGTCATGAGGATGGAGCCCTCAGGATCTCGAGTATCCTTCTAAGAGGAGGCCAGAGAGCTTGCTCGATCTTTTTCTGTCACATGAGGATACAAGCAGCCGGCCGCCTACATAGCCCAGGAGAGGGTCTCACCAGAACGCAACCATGCTGGCAAGCTGATCTCGACTTCCAGTCTTCAGAACTGTGAGAAACAAATTTCTGTTCTTTATGATAAAGCCACCTAGTCAGTGGCACGTTGTTTTAGCGACCCAAGCTAAGATAACATCCAAGTCTGGCTCTCAGGTGAAGGTCTAGACCAAACGAAATCAATTTAAGTCATTGAAGTAAACAGCATGGCATGTGAATACAAGATCAAGATTTAAGCTTAGAGGTGAAATCATCATCTGAGTAAAGACCCCAGAGGTAGGGGAAAAAACCAGGGGAGCGTAATGTCACAAGTCCAGTTTAGAGTCTTTCAAATGAAGTGTTCAGCAGTGTAACGTACTATTATATCAAGACAAGTGAAGTGGATTCTGAACTTAAAAGTTGCAGTGGAGTGATAATGGCAGAAACCAATCTCACATGGGTTCATTGGTAAATGTTGAGATGCGGTTTGTCAGACAGTTCAGGCAAGGAATTAGCTTTTAAAGGGGAAAAGAAGGGGTTGAGGAGAAAAATACTATTTAAAAAAAAAAAAGGTTTGGTCATATCTAAAGAAAGGAAAAGACCCATTTAGAGAAGTTGAAGATGGTGACTAAAGATGTGTGAGAAGGCACTCTCTTGGGCACAGGTAAGAGGTGGCTATCAGGGAAGCATTCATTTAAAAACTCCAAGTAATCTTAAATACAGAAAGACAGCCATGGGCAGCATAGGGACAAAAAGACCATTTTGAGTAGAGCGGTGGCACAGGCAAAGACAGCAAAGTACAGCAAAAGCCTGACTGGTAAAGTTTGTAGGAAAATAATATAAGGCTGGAAAAGTAATTTAAAGTCAAATTACAGAGAGCCTTAAATGTGCTAAAGAATTTGGGACTTTCTTCAGTAGGCAGTGAGAGGCAGTTGAAGTGTGTGAACTTGAAGTGTGTGAACATGACTAAGACGTGCTCTAGGAAGGCTGGCAAACCAGAAGGAAATGCCTACCGAAATCCTTAGTTAAGGCCTAACCCAACGGCTCTCAATGGGACTGCACAAAAGAACCACCTGTAGTGCTTTGAAAGACACTTGATGGGTGCACCCACCAGAAATTGTGGTTCATTTTGTCTGGGATGAGGCTCAGGCATTTCAAAGTATTCCAGAGGATCTTAATCCGGGACTAGGGTTGAAAGGCATTGTCTCTTCTGTGCAGTTGATGTTATGTTGATACAGTAAGGCTCAAATCAGACGGTAATAAAGGAAAGCCAAATATATATATATATATATATGTATGTATGTATGTCACATTCTGGGGAAAAAAACAAACACCTGTAACAAGCTAAACTGACCCAGTAAAATTAAAAAAGCACACCATTACACCATCCCCATCACAAAAGAAAAACAGATAATATATACAATTTATTTAATAAATTAATGTCATTCAAAATACAGTGCCAGAACATTATGCAGTTGAACATGCTAGTAATGTTGGTCATGAAGCACCTGTGCTCATGTTAGATGGGCGGCGCCCCGCTACTGCTAGTGGTTCCTGGGATTAATGCCAGAGCAGCACTAATGATCTGCTCGTGTGCACGGCTAGTGCCGAGAATTCCTGAACAGTTCACCTTCCTACTCCTACCCCCACACGCACACAACAGGTTAAAAAACAAAACCGAAAAAAACACACCCTGACAGCTAATGGATATCTATACACAATCACTCTACAGTAATGCTTGTTATTAAATTAAGATGTAATGACCTGGTTAACCCACTCTAAATCTTTACGATGGAGAAATACAACAGCAGCAGGTAGTTATATGCATGAGCCAATGTTAATGTAATACAGAAAGTGGAGGCATTTACGGATTAAAGCTCCACACAGACCCGCACAACAAGGGACCAGCAATTCTCATTGCAAGCCCAGCAACGTAAGTCCACACCTGGTAAATGACCAGCTGATTGGAAGACCTGTATTCTAGATAGACAAGTATAAGTTCGTGAAGAGAGAACACATGCACCTAATAGTACAGTTAGACTGATCCTGCAGTCATAGCTTTCCCTGTGCAATACCATAAAATGGAAGATCTTCCTCAACTAGAGTATAGGATTTTGACAACATTTCTATACCAACATGGACACTAGTGTTAAGTGCAGCTGAATTAATTACACTGAAAAAAACCATATTCCAGGACTTCGGAACAGAAGCACGGGAATGAGATACATATACTAAAATAACCTCGGCACAATTTGCGATATACCACACTAGGAACAGGAAACTACTTTTAATAAGTGAACTTTTTGAACTGTACATAACACAGGGCTAACAATGTTATTAGATAATCCAGATTCTTATGCTCTCATGATACACGTAAAAGTTTCTCAATTATCAGATAATCTATTTCATATTATGGAAGCATATCTTTCTGTAAGACTCACTGATATATATTATACTGATGCAAATATTAAGTAGGGCATAAAAATAAAATTTATCAAAGATAGACTTTTATGTACTCATATTTAGTCCTCTCATAGCCTCTCTTGTTTAAGCAAAGAAAATGACGAAGCACATAAACCAGGCGTGCACTCCCTCAACTCGCCGACTAGACAGGTGGTAGTGCAACCATTTCTCCATCCAGTTCAAACTCCTCCGTCCCATCCGGTGAAAAAAGGTAAGTTGGTGGTTTCCATGGAGACTCTTCAAGGCAGGATGGATAAAGTTTCCCCACAGTGCACCGAAAATCTCTCCCTAAGTCCCACAGTACACGTTCAGAT